AGTTGCGCCTTAGATATAGACCCTACATATCAAATAGAGAGGCGTAGTCTCTGGTGGCATTTCCTCCATTCCCGATTTTTACAATTTGCATCTGACCACCGGTCTATGTCAACACTGCACTTAGGGCAGAAATCGGGATCGAAATTGTTATCTCTTTATGTTCATGTATAAATGTTTGCGTATTAGTATATTTGTGTGTGCTAGTGGCCAGAATCCAAATCTCTGTCGCCCTAACGACGACCATGGAAAATTCCTACCGCGGCCAAGCGATTGGCCCTTCAAATACAGGTTAGAGAGTGAATTATTCGCTTGAATTATTAACGTACGGAAGGTTATTCTTTGATAATAAAACCTTTAAAACTATCGGCCAGGTTGTTCACCAATGCTGGCCCAATTATGCTTTAGCCGTAATACATAATCTGTGTTATAGCTTCACTGTACCATTATCTATTCATGCGTTGTATTCTTCTTCAAGTTGGCCTGCCGTTTCTAGCCCCCATGCACTTTAACTGTGCAGGAAATTCATTAAAATAATATCCTCTCCCACAGTCTATTTAGCGTGTCATTGAGTTTGGCTATAATATACCATACCCTGCCTTAGCCTGTATACAACACTTTAGAATGTTGTAATTGAGACGTAGACCCTGATCTAAGTATGCCTAAAAACGGAATCACTCTAGGTCGCTTAAAATGATATAAGGAGTGATATTTAGGCCTTTCCACAATTGTATGGGTAGGCCCTGCCTATAAAAATGGTATTCACATTCAGGCTGGACAGCCTAGGTTTCTTCAGCACTTCCCACAGCGACACATTACCGCTTCACTGCACAGACATGGTGTTTCAGATGGCCACAGGCCAGCTATGAATTTAAAGGCAGGCGAGGCTTTCACTAGTTAGGTATGAAGACCAAGATGGCGTGGCCTTTTGTGTGGTCGCAGTCTTCTTTCGTTTTATAGAACCTTGTTTTCGCAACTTGGTCATATTAGTAGGAAGACTTAGAGGAACGCACCTAGTCCGGAGTCCATTGTATGGATGATCATTTCCAGAGTAGGATCATGGATGTGGTACATTCCCAGAG